ATATATATATATATATATATATATATAAGAACGCACAAAACATTGTGAAAATAATTTATTTGATTAAAGGGCCATAACATAAAATAAGTAATTCAATTTAACACAATTTATTAAGGGACATTTAGATTTCAATAATGTAATGTTTCCCCAAAAACTCACTCTAAACCCTAAACATATAGATAATACCTGAAACAATTCTACTTTACTTGTAGATGTATATTTCACTTTTATGTCAAGGTCAAATTGTCAGTGAGTGAGCAGCAGTTATGAAGTATCATGATATCTGACCATTTAAGTCATTATAAAATGCTTTACAATGTGTAATGATTATTGTTATTAAGTACTGTGAATATTTAGGTGTTTATACCTATAAGCATTCAAGGATATGAGCAGATTATAACGCATTATAAGTATGTTATTAATGCATTATAGACATAGGCGTCATAGAAAATGTTACCAAGAAATAAAATAAATAAATAGATAAATAAATAAAAAGTTTAAACTTCTATTTTTTTTTTTTTACTATGTGTTAAATACCTTAGCAGCCAAACATGGGTTACCTGCCAGAATGGCTGGTGAGACTAATCATAGAGGATATTAATATGAACTATAACATCAAAGCGGTGCGCTGGATTTAAATAACACAAGACAAAACAAGAGCATGCAGAATGCAGTCCATTAAACGTTTCATCTCAATTCTCTTGGTTTTCATAATCGCTTTCTGTCGCATAATAGAAAAGTGATCAATCTACCGGCCCCTAACGTCAATCACTGATTTTAAAGAAGCGCATTCTGCCCCTGTGTCTGCTGCTCTTCCGAGCGTACCAGAATAACATATTTTTACTTGTGGCTTCTGTTAACCAAACTCTTGTGCGTGATGCTGAGCAAATGCTTACCTCAATGTGGGACTAATAGCAACAGACCACACTCTGTCATACATGGGGATGGTGTCTCTGGGGCAGCTGGAGGTCAGACTCCAAATCTAGAGAAACAAAAGTCCCTAGTAAGCACATTTAATAATGTATACAAAAACAAACATACTATGTCCTTCCATCCATCCATTATCATCTGTAACCACTTATCCTTTATAGGGCTGTGGGGTTGCTGGAGCCAGTATGTCACAAGACCATACTATGTTATGCACATGAAATATAGAGCCCTTTTCTCTTAGTAGACATGACGTAACGTACTCATATTTGTTTGTTTACCATATTTTATTGTAAATTTTCACATTTTCTATTTTGAAATTATGTCTTTAACTATTGCACTGTTTGTTGTTATTGTCATGCACCAGTCACTAAGTCAAATTCCTTGTATGTGTAACATATTTGGCAGTAAACCCTTTCTGTTTCTGATGACATATTTTTGTGGGCGGAGCGTAGGTGGAGCAGGAAGAATCATTCTCAGATCCAATTTTTTTTTCTACTTTACAAGTTTCACTGAATATGTCCAGTCACTCCCTTTCCGTGAGTGTTACCTGAGAAAGTTACCATTAACCTACCGCGAAAGCCAAGTCCTTTAAATACCACAGTGCATCGTAAAGGAAAATGTATAAATCTTTGGATGGCTATAACTACCCTGCTGAAAAGGTTGCTAATCCAGCATTTGCAACAGTTGCCTACACGGCTAAGCAACCCCAAAAAGGAAGACCCACTAATCAAAAAGACTGTGGTGGAGCAGCCATGACAGCTTTGGTTAGCAGAGGGCTAGCCAAACTATTAGCAAGGTAATCTAAAAAGTATTAGTGACATAGTATTGAATCATAGTTTGTCATCGCAAAGGTATGCAGTAAAGTTGGAGCCATACTCAAACATTCAATTCTCGCACCCAACAACAAAGCAAGATGAGATTTTCAATGTGTAACTCTTGCCTCCAGCTAACGCTGCAACGTAATCATGACATCGGCTCTAAAAGGGTCTTTAATGCTGAATTATCATGAAGCTTATGGTGAATTGAATCTGAAGTGAAATGTTCTTGTTCTGGAGAAATGTAGAGTTATGTTTCAAATAAAGTCTACGTCCTACAGTCTTCCCATTTGTGAAACAAATGTGGAGTCTACACGTCATGGAACTGTGCATCGCATCGATAAATCTGGATTGTAAGAGGTCGTTCTGACCCGGGTTGTTCGGTCTCTGGATCCACTGACGATGAGTCCATCTTTGGAGTCCAGGCAGTTGACTTCCTGGTTGTGACCCGACAACTCCACCGACATGTCCCTCCTCCTGCTGTGAACCAGGATCCTGCCATCACTGAGAAAAGAGGAGTCATTTTTCAGGACTAGTTTGAAACTATCAGGATTATCACGTAAGCAGTCATTGAGGAAAAAATATATGTATGCAAGTCATCTTCCAGTATGGGTTAATAGCTATCACTGTATAACTGTTATAAACTCAAAAGGGAAGAACAAATAGAACACGTGGTAACCTTCCACCGCTGATCAGGTGAGAGTCTGTCAGGACGAAGCGGCAGACATCGCCCTTGTGGCCCGAGTATATTTTAAACGGGTTACGCTGGAGCCTCCCAGAGTCCGAGCGCAGATGGTACGCTCCAATATCGGCAGCCTGAGACAGAAACAGTACGTTCCCATCAAGCTGCAACCATGGCAACAGTCTGAAAACAAGATACGAAATTTGAGAGAAACAACGCGCTGATGTGCTTTCTTTGCGAGAGTTAGTTGAGAAGATGGATTTAAATCAAATGCATGTGTGTTAAATATGGAGACAGTCAGGACATGGTTAGCCTAGCTTTATATAAATCTAGGTTAACCCGGCTAACCTGGCCCCAGAGGCCTTATGCTACTGTAAAACACATCATGCATAGTACACAAGCTAAGAATTCAAATTTTTGTATAGATTTTCTCATTTGTTACACTGCATATTGTCTAGGTGATATGTAGAAAATAAGGTCAAAGCATTTCAGCTTTTAAACAGTTAATAGCGAGAATACTCACTCACTTTGTTTTCCATTTGAGAGGAATTGCCTTTTTGCAGACCCCGTCGTACCAGTTTTGAGCTATCGTCACCCTCTCCTTCAGCGGGATGGAAGGATATCTGCAATGACAGCGACAGTTAAACAACACTATCCTATCACCACTGTTTATTTTGAAATGATTGGCTAGTTTACGATCTAAAACATGCCCATCCCATCGATGCAACGGTAGAGGACATACTAGAACACTGTGTTAAAAAGTTTTATGTCAAGTTTTCTGATCTGAGGTTTAGAGATATCTGTCTATGGGATTTTTGCCTGAACTCCAAAAACAATGGAGGTGAATGGAATTTATTTTGTGGCGCTCACAGTAATAAAAAATTTCATTTAAAAAAAGCAAGAAAAACAGTTAAGTCTTTTTTCAAAGTTAGTGGTTATTATCCGCGAATAGAATACTATTTTCATGAGGAATGGGTAACAGAGGTTGTTTTTTTCACTAAACAGAATGAAGTCTGTGCCTCATTTGCAGTGCGAGTGTAAACATGTAGCGTTGAGTGCCACTTTACCAAAAGTTCCCAGCAACTGGAGTGAGTCAACCACTTTCAATTTGATTCTAAACGGTTGGAGACCCCTAAAGTAGCTTTGAGCCATCATTCTCATTGTTGTCAACATAATAAATCACAAGGTGCCCCGGTGGTCTAGGGGTTAAGGTGCCAACCATTCCTTTTAATTGAGTAGTTGATGAACTCAACTCCAACATTTACTTTATTCCTTTGATGATTTCAGCAGCAAGGCAGCAAATATACCCAAAACTTTTAAAACTGGTTTTCCAAAATATCTCAGACAAAACAAAAATCAATATGTTCCAGAGTTAAAACAAGCAACGGCCCCAGGGCCCCAGAACTCCAGGGGCCAGTAAGCTCCATGCGCATTGTCTGTCAAATGGTTTGTGTAAAAACATTGCTGCCATTGGTGTTCTGTGACCTGCTACTCTATTCAGGAAGGTAAACCGACTAATGGTAAACATACAGTCAATGCGGCCAAAGGATGAACGTTCAGTAAACACCGTCAGTGCACTAGCCCAGGCTAACGCGAGGCTAAAACAATAAAGTAAAATACACAGCAGGTTTGTCATCAGTGTGCGACTGTTATCTTACATGTCCGTCCCGTTCCGAGTGATTCCAGTGTTTAAAAATTCTTTGGCAATGTTCCTCCACACTGCGTCCCGGTTCACAAAGTGGTAAGTGGTTTTACAAACTTGAGAGAGGTGACTGAGGGATTTGTAGCCCAAATAAGACAAGATATGATAGAGAACATCTTCCGGCAGCTGCGATAACAGCATGCTGACAGCGCTGCCCTTGCCTCCTCGCGCACGCTGTGTCCGGGTCTCTGCCGTGCGTCGCACCCGCACGCGGGGCTACTTTGTAAAAGCGGGTTTTGAACGTAGTAAACAAAATATCTCATCTTTAGAGGGCAGCAGGACTATTAGCGTTGTACGGTGAGCATGACAGAGGAAACAGGAAGTAATTTCAGCAATGACAGCTGATGACGACTTCCCTACGTAACTGCGCTGGGATCTCTCCGGTGCGTCTCTGCATTTCTCAAACTTTTGTCTGTCCAAATAGCTTGTGACGTTGTGTGAATTCATAGTGCGTTTATTTCCTGAAATAAATTCGTTTATTTATATTTAAAATGTTGTATTTACCTACCTTTCAGTGTTGTATGTGACAATATTATGTTATATATATATATATACATATATATAACTATATAGCACTTTACTTTTCAATAAAACAATAAAATGAAACTATAAAACATGCCACGATAATGAGACAAGAAAGGGGAAATTAGGATTAGAGCACGGCAAAATATTAAAATAGTCAGACGTAAAGTAAAAACAAAACAGGTTAAACAAAGCAATAGGCAAAAGTGTACAAATCTGCACTGGGAAAATAATTTCCAGAAGGGATTTTAACAGATTTGAGATGCTCAGGCAGGGAGTTCTAAAGCTGTCACCCTCAGTGAAAAAGTAAGTAGTTTAAATGGGATTTGCTGACAATAAGAAAATTATAGGATGTCACCATTCTTTTAACTAAGAAATAGAAAGCCAAAGTCCTGAAATCACCTCCAGACTCATGTTTCACTAGCCTCTGTGAATCAATACAAGCTCTCATTGAAGGTGTCTATCATCTGTTTTTCTGGGAAAGTGAAACATGTTTGTAAGGTGTTCTATCGATATTCTAAGATGGATGAGTATAGGCCTTGATATTAAAATAAGAAACAAACATTTGAACAATCTTAAACAATTTATCAATAAATAAAAGCCTCCACTAAAACTCTGCCAGATTGGCAGTGCACATACATATGTCATTATATTTTATTGATTGATATCTTTATTTTCGTGTCATGCACCTAACGTCCCCAACCTTCGTAAGTTTTATAAGACATCAAGAAATATTTAGTTTAAAAAATACGACAGAGTAATAAAGTAGTCTTTAATAATGAAAGGTTGTGTTTGACACTTAAGATCTTCTCTAAAATCTTCCTCTATAAACTCAAACAGACACATTTCGTGGAAAGTTTTAGAAGTCTTAGGCTACATCCATACTACTCCGTTTCTATTTGGAAGCAGATTTGTCAAATAGAAACGATCTCCTTCCAAACGGGCGTTTCAGCATCATTTTCAAATTGAACTGCATCCACACGGCAACCTTCGAAGACGGACAGCACGTGACCATTAACTTACACTGGGCATGCGCGTGACGGTGTAAACAGGAAGTGGATTGGTTGCTTAGTTAAAAAAAATACGACAGAGTAATAAAGTACTCTTTAATAATGAAAGGTTGTATTTGATACTTAAGATCTTCCTCTAAAATAGTCCTCTATAAACTCAAACAGACAGTTCGTGGAAAGTTTTAGAAGTTTTATTTTTCAGACTCAGTTACAGCGCTGCGGGTCTTTCTCTATCTCTCTCTCTCACATCAAATTTACTTTAAAATCAACACTTACACGTAAACGTTTACTAGATTATGGGTCCATAAATGTGGTCAACACACGTCTCTCACTCGTTCCCTCTCGGTTTTGTTGTTGTCGTTCTTACTCGTAGCTCTGCTGGTGGCTGAAATCTCTGTCTAAAGGAGAGCAATTACTGCTTTTGTTCCTTTACATTTTATCTGCAGACATCAAAATAGTTGTGCAGAACAAAAAAAGCATTAATAAGGAAAGGAAAGTCGTCCGTTTTGTGTCCATCACCCTCCCTAAAGCTGCTAACCGTGACTTCAGATGTCCGCTCGGTAGGGACACCCCAGTGTACCGCGGTGGCCAGGTTGACAGGCGAGAGTCCCAGGAGTTTAACTGTTTGGCTGTCCAGAGGTACTTCAGGTACTTGTGGTCAGTCTACACCAATCATCCAATTTCTCCACTCCAATGCCAATTTAACCACCAGCAGCCCTCGATTGCCAATGTCTTAATTCGGCTCTGCCGGTAAAAATGTGGGAGAAGTTGTTTGTTTGCCAAGCCCTGGGACAACACAGCTCCAACCCACACATCAGAACCATCAGCATCGGCTGTTTGGGATCTGGGAGGATCAGGATGGACGCTAAGTCTGGAAACCCTCCTCGGCTTGGGGAGACCACAAGAGGTATGGGAATGTAAAGGGGTGGCAACACAACTGTATTAACGGATGCGTTTTCAATAGAAGTTAGAAAGCTGCTGCTTGCGGTTGGTGGTTGTAGACCACGTTGACGGTGCTGACCTCGGCAGAATCCATTGGGACAATCACAGCTAAAAACTTTAAGTCCTCAAAGGTGACTGTCCGGATGTGGAACTATCCCTGCAAGTGTTCCTGCGCCACAGATTGTTTTTTTTTGCTGGTGCTTTGGGTTTACTGGACTTTTCAGTGAGGGTGCTCTAAAATAGAGTTTCCCATTAATGTGCAAGTCACCACCATTTAATTTCTATTTCAACACCATACACACACACAAATCCGCAGTAAATAAAATGTAGGTATTCTAAGGCATTAAAATTATATAAAAATTATGAATAAACCACAGACATTTCTTGTGGGTGCTAGAGGGGTACTATGTCTGTCCTCCGAGTTACTACAGCACCATCAAAACCCTTCCTGGCACTGCCTATGTTCTGGAAGAAAATCTGAATGTTGTCCAAGTAGACAAAGTGAAAGCATTTCAACATGTCCTGCAGGACATCATTGACCAAAGCCCTTGAAAACAGCCGGCGCATTAGGTACGCCAAATGGCATGACAGAATATTTGTCCACTGAGAGTGTTAAAAGGCTGTCTTCCACTCACCCACATGCTCTCAATGGTGATGTCAAATGTGAGGCAGGTAGAATGTCAGAAACTACTCCAACCCAGAATAATCCCATGTTAGGGTTGTGTTTAACAAGCCATTGTTGACCAAGAATGTGGGGAGCTTATAAGGTGAAAACTTCAACGTTCAAAATGGTTACCTGACCAGCATGGTCTATGACTATAATGACTAGTCCGAAGGGGGTGGAGTGCTCCATTCCTGCTCGGCCAACACTGCTCATGAAAGTCTCATCCTTACCAGAGTCCTGAACACGGAGGCAGTGAGGAGTTGACCAGACTGAATCAACTGGGCTTGGAGAAGAGGCAGAGTGGGGAAATGCCGGGTTGCGAGTTAAGCTCCCCAACAACCTCCTTTTACTGGACAGGCTGAGATGAAGTGGCTGGGGCAAAGAGGTCTGGTATATATGCATGGGAGATAAGAGAACGAGTGCTGGCGACTGAGGGGATCAGGTGACTTTGGTGGGAGCACACAGAGGGCAACTACGGGGTAGGTGGGGAATAGCAGGCTGTGGTGATTCCAGAGGGTAGCAAGAAGTGGTAGCCACCACACCTAAAAATATGCTTTGCCATCCCAGCTCCCACCCCCAGTTTTGAGCAATGTAATTAAATATGATAAAATGTGATTCACAGAATAGACTCCACAGTTTCACCCAACTGCCACTCCAGCCAGCAGCAGCTCCGTTTTCTCCCGGCCCCAGCAGCTTTCTGTGCAGCCTCTACCCGGTTGTACACAACGACTGCTTGTGGCATTTTTTTTCCTGCCAAATGTTTGTGTAGGGTCGGCAACTTTCATGAGTAGAAGATATAGAATGACAGGTGGATATTGGCGAGACAGATTACACCTGGCTAAAACCAAGTAAAGAGTGTCTCCTCTGCAACTATCAATGTCAAAATTTTAGATTAGTGCATTATACAAAACCACGCAGTCTTTAAAGGTACTAACATCACTTGCTCCAACCCCTAAACAAAGAGCCAACAAGTCAACAATGCAGTATCAGTTAATGCAAGGAAAACGAGCAAAAATGACAAACAGAAGTAGTTATTGTGACTAGATAGCTTTATCTTTACAACTATCTTATAATTATGATAATTAACTTTGAACTTTTCTTCAAAGTTGAAAAGAAATGGTTTCCAGGAGAGTTTTAACCCACATACAAATAATTGAATGAGGTCCGTGATCACTCAGCCAGACATTCATTGGACTCATCATTTCAAATTCGACAGGGGTCTTTTAAAAAAGAAGTAAACATTTAAAGGGTTAGTCCACCCAAATTAAAAGACTTTTCATTTTGTATTTATTAATAATGAGCGTGAAAAACAGAATATAAGTTAAAAAATTTTTTTAAATCGTGGCTTTTTCCAGGGCACTCAGAGTCTTCCTCTTGCTCAATAATAATAATTAGTTAGGCTTGTTGATTTCACTAAATTCTAAATTATATTGTGGTGTTTTTCAGTGTATGATCATACAGTGAATCATTTCATCTAGTTTTTGTTTGGTCAAAATCTCTCTCCAGGCCAACATGTGCACCAGCTTCCTCTCCTCGCCTCATATGGTGATTTATACAGACACTGAGCAATAGAATGAAAGTGGAATCCAGCCCAGCACGACCCTGAGGGCTGTTTAGCCACTAAAACTGCCAAGGTTGTGTCACGGTCAAATGACTACCAAAAGTTGATTGACCTTATGACATTTTGTGAGGCGCTTAACCGTTTAGCATCAGTAGCATCAATTTGTGCTTATTCACATCATGAGGGTCCTCAAGCCTGCAGTTACGAGTGGCATCCCCAAAGCTCTTTGATCAGCGGAGCACAACCGCACATAATTGAAATATGCAGATCGTTTTTCTTTCTTTCTTTCTTCCTTTAAAAAAAAAGAAAAGAAAGACATGTCCCCTTGTTGAAAGCTGTGCTCTTTCTAAAAAGGGCATGTCCCAAACACTGGGCCGTCGAAAAAAATCATTTATGGTTGGCTTTCCAGCTGAACTGTCATGGCTAAAAGGAAATGAAGAGGTTGGGAGGAGGGTTACGGGGGAGTGGAGGGGACGTTTGGGGGTTGCGGTGGGGGGCGTTTCAAGGGGGCTATGGAAGGGAGGAAGGGGGGGGGGGGGGGGGGGTCTTCCCTTTTGATCTTTTTAGGGCAGCAAAGAGGGACGGGGGTGCTCTGCCTGCGATGGCAAACACATTTAGCTGGTAATTGTTCAGATCAGAC